CTCAAATCTATGGGACACATCCAAAGCAGTTTAGAGGGAAAATTTACAGCAATGCAGGCCTATCTCAACAATCAAGAAAAATCTCAAGTAAACAATCTAACATTATACCTAAAGGAACTAGAAAAATAAGACCAAACAAAGCCCAAAGTGAGTAGAAAGAAGGAAATAAGAAAGATCAGAGCAGAAATAAATGAAATAGAGCCTACAAAAAAGAAACAAAGAAATAAAAGATCAGTGAAACCAAGAGCTGATTGAAAAGAGAAACAAAATTGATAAATCTTTAATCAGTCTCATCACAAAAAAGAGAGAAGACTCAAACAAATAAGAACAGAAATGAAAGAGGAAAAGTGGTAACATACACCACAGAAATACAAAAAATTATCAGGAAATGCTAAGAATAATTATATGCCAACAAATTAAACAACATGGGAGAAATGAATAAGTTCCTAGAAACATACAATTTTCCTAGGCTGAATCAGGAAGAAACAGGAAATTTGAACCAATAACTATTAACGAAATCAAATCAGTAATCAAAGAACTCCCATCAAACAAAAGCCCTGGACCAGATGGCTTCACAGGTGAATTTTACCAAACATTCAAAGAAGAATTAATGACTATCCTTCTTACACTATTCAAAAAAACTGAAGAGGAAGGAAGGCGCCCAAGCTCATGTTACAAGGCCAGCATTACTCTAATACCAAAACCAGACAAAGATTCTACAAAAACTAAAATTATATGCCAATATCCCTGATGAACATAAATGCAAAAATCCCAACAAAATATTAGCAAATTAAATTCAGTAACACATTAAAAAGATCATACACCATGATCAAGTGGGATTTACTTCCAGAATGCAAATCTGGTTCAATATCTGCAAATCAGTTAATGCGATACACTACATAAACAAAACGAAAGATCAAAACCATACATCAGATCAACAGATACAGAAAAAGCATTTGACAAAATCCAACATCCATTTATGATAAAAACTCTCAACAAAGTGGAGATAAAGGGAACACACATCAACATAACAAAGGCCATATATGACAAACCCACAGCTAACATCATACTCAACAGAGGAAAAGCTAAAAGATTTTTCTTTAAGATAGAGAAAAGACAAGCATGTCAACTTTCAACACTTTTAATGGAAATCCTAGCCACAGCCATCAGGCAAAAAGAAATAAAAGGCATTCTGAACTGGAAAGGAAGAAGTAAAACTGTCATTATTTGCATATGACACGATACTACATAGAAAGAACCCTAAAGAGTCCACCAAAAAACTATTAGAACTAATAAATGAATACCGTAAAGTAGCAGGATAGAAAATTAATTCAGAAATTGATTGTATTTTTATAAGGAACTATCAGAAAGAGAAATTAAGAAAACAATCTCATTACAATTGCATTGAAAAAAATAAAATACCTAAGAATAAATTTAACAAAGGAGGTAAAAAACCTGTATGCAGAAAATTACAAGACATTGAAGAAAAAAACTGAAGATACAAATGAATGGAAGTATATACCATGCTCATGGACAGGAAGACTTAAGGTCATTAAAATTTCCATGCTACCCAAAGGAATCTAGAGACTTAATGCAAAATACCAATGGCATTTTGGCAAAACTATAACAAATACCTATTTATATGGAGCTACAGAAGACCCTGAATAGTCAAAACAACCTTAAGAAAGAAGAGTAAAATTGGACATATCATGCTGCCTGATATCAAACTATACTACAAGAATATAGTAATCAAAACAGAATTTTACTGGCATAAAGAACAGACACACAGATCAATGGAACAGAATAGAGAGCCCAGAAATAATCCCACACCTATATGGCCAATTAATCTATGCCAAAGGAGGCAAGAATATACAATAGGGTAAAGAAAGTCTCTTCAATAAGTGGTATTGGGAAAACTGAAAAGATACATGCAGAAAAATGAAACTGGATCACTTTCTTACACCATATACAAGAATAAACTCAAAATGGATTAACAACTTAAACGTAAGACCTGAAACCATAAAACTCCAAGAAGAAAATATAGACAGTAAACTCTTTGACGTCACTCTTAGCAATATATTTTCTAATGTACCTCCTCGGGCAAGGGAAACAAAAGAAAAAATAAAGAAATGGGACTACATCAAACTAAAGAGTTTTTGCACAGTGAAGGAAACCATCAGCAAAATGGAGAAGACAACGTCCTGAAAGGGAGATGATCTTCGTCAATGATACATCTTGTAAGGGGTTACTATCTAAAATAGACAAGAAACTCATACAACCTAACAACAAAAACACAAACAATCCCATTAAAAAAATGGGCAGAGGACCTGAATAGACATTTTCCCAAAGAGGACACACAGATGGCCAACATATATATGAAAAGATGCTCAACATCACTATTCATCAGGGGAATGTAAAAATAAAACCACAATGAGCTATCACCTCACACCTGTCAGAATGGCTCTCATCAATAAATCAACAAACAACAAGTGTTGGTGAGGATGTGGACAAAAGGGAACCCTCACGCACTGCTGGTGGGATTGAAATTGGTGCAGCCACTAAGGAAAACAGTTTGTAGGGTCCTCAAAAAATTAAAAATAGAACTGCCTTATTATCCAGCAATTCCAATTACGGGTACTCATCCAAAGAAATCCAAAACACTAATTTGAAAAGATATATGTACCCTATGTTAATTAACGGATAAAGAAGAGGTAGTACATATAACATACAATGGAATATTACTCGGCCATAAAGAAGAATGGAATCTTGCCATTTGTGACAACCTGGATGGACCTAGAGGGTATTATGCTAAGTGAAATAAGTCTTCGAGAGGAAGACAAATACCATATGATTTCACTTATATATGGAATCTCAAAAACAAAACAAACAAAATTGAAACAAACTCACAGATATAGAGAACAAATTGATGGTTGCCAGATGGGACTCAGGTTTGGGGGAATGGGTAAAAAACTTGAAGGAATTAAAAAGTACAAATTGCCAGGTATAAAAACAGTCATGGGGAGGTAAAGTACAGCATAGAGAATATAGTCAATAATACTATAATAACTACATATCGTGTTAGGTCTGTACCACATTTAACAATATGATTACTTTGTAAGTTATTTAAATGTTTAATTACTATGTTGCATACCTGAAACTAATATTGTGTGTCAATTGTAATTAAAAAATCATTTAAAATTTTAAAAAGAATAGTCAGCATTTCTTGAGCACTATGTGCTATGCATAGTTCTAAATGCTTTTCCTTTTTTTTTTTTCCTTTCAATAAGCTTTTATTTTAGTCTAAGTTACAAACTAAACTTTGTTTGGTAGACTTGTAAATGTACTGTGATACACAGAGAATTACTGATTCATTTCCTGACTTCTGCATAGTAGAATAGTATGCATCTTCTCTCCATATGGCAGCTCTTTGCTGCCCTAAATGCTTTTCATGCATTAACTCATTTGATCCTCAAAATAATGAGACAATCATAAAAGCTTCTCCTTGTATTGAACCCACCCTAACTCGTCTCCCCTCCTACATTTGCAGTAAATACACTACTAATCTTCACTAGGCATCTACTATATGTACTTTGCAGAAGAAAACAGTCAACATTTATGACAAACTGGAAGAGCACTGGGTTTGGAGTAAGGATATATATATAGTCACTGTATGATGTTAAATTAGTCAAACATTCTAAGCCTCTGATTCATCATGTCACATGGGAATAAAATTGCCCGTCTCAAAGAATTATGAAAACTTAGTTTTCTAATCTATGTGAAAGTGCTTGGTGAACTACAAAATACAACGCTCATGCCAATCAACGTTTCTACAGTATCTATCATGTGGCAATTACTGTGGTAAGAGATGGGCTATGAGGTTAAAAGAAGGTTCTAGTTACTCTGGTGAAGTTTATAATCCAAAATGTGACAATGCATGAGTCCTGCCCTAAGGAAACCCATAATCTGGTGCTACACCATTAAGTACTTAATTTTCCATTAATTGTTCATGTGTAGCTTTGTCTTTCCAAGCTTCCTGAAGAGACAGTTCTGGTAATTCTTTTCTAATACCCCATGGTATAAAGGTACACAATAGGCCCCCAAAATAGTTGCTGATTAACTGATTTTTCTTAGGGAAAAAAATCTAATAAATTACTCTTTTAATGAAATATTCGCAAAGCCACTTTTGTGACTTCTAAAATTACTTTCAGCTTAAAAAGTGAATCAATAAGCATTTATTATAAATATGTATAATGACACTTCTTTTTTTAAAAAGTTAACTCACACATTCTCTTAACATAAAGGTAAATAAAATATGTTACTTACCTAAGTGCAGAGAATGTAAATCCTTTCAAACCATCTTTACACCTAAAACAATAAAAATTTACAAAGATTAAATAACATGTTTTGCTATATAAAGTAGTAAATTAAATAACTATTAAAGGGCCGGCCGAGTGGCGCATTGGTTAAGAGCTGGCTTGGGACGCCAGGGGACCCAGGTTCGGATCCCACATATGAGGGCCAGTGACGCTGCCCTCCACAGCCAAGATGCTGAACAACAGCTCAACCTGGAGCTGGGCTGCCGTGAGTTGCCGGCGATGGCGACGGCGACGGCGACGGCGAAGGGGTAGGCTGCAGCCTCTGCTGCAGTGGGTTGCCATGGGCTACCATGAGTAGCCAGCTGCCAGCAGCTGCAGTGAGCAGCCGTCCAGAAGCTGGCAACTGATCTGCCTCGCCAGGGAAGAGCGCAATGATGGTGCCAACTTTGGCCAGTGAAGCAATGTCCTCCACAACTGGACTGAAGAACAAAAGGACAGCAACTTGTCTGTTCCCCTTCCCCCAATTCCCCAGCACTGTTCCCATCCCCTAGTTCCCCAATAAAAATCTTAAAAAATAAATAAATAAATAAAATAACTATTAAAATTTTTCTAAAAGTGATGATTTTTTGAAAGATGAAACTCTTTTAGGACAATGATCAAAGTAGTACAAATGGTCAAACAAACAACTAACAATGGAGCAAGCCATCTTACACAATGATTAAATGATAATGTTTCCCTTTGTCATATTAACATAATTTAAAACTCAACTCTCAGATTTGCAGGTTGAAGAGAGATTTAAATAAATCTTCTAAGGGCTCCATGTGGACTTGAAATGAAAGCTGAGAGTGAAGTATTCTCCATTCTCCCCAATCCATGGGGGAGCAATTTGTTGTAAAGACAAGGGCCACATACACCTGCTGGCTATTATGTAAAGGTCAATTCAAGGTCCTGCCTTCTCCCTACTTATTAATTCAGTGAATGCAGAGCAATGTCGAGTTGGCAGGCACAAAAGAGCTTCAAGTTTAGTTCAACAGTTTTCACTTCTGAGTAAGCCCAATCAGATAACATGCATGGGGAACAGAGTGGGGGTGAGGAGAGAGCACAGAGAGATTCCAAGTAATATTTACTGAGTACTTACTACTGCTGGGCATTGTTTTGGGCCCTTTATATGTGTTGTCTCATTTAATTATATCACAACTCTAGAAATAAGTGTTTCTCTAGTTCATAGTTGTGCAGAGGCCCCCAAAATACAGCCCCCAGAAGTCACATCAACAGTAGTCAGAATTCAGGAAATAAATTTCAGCTGACTTAAAAGTCATGCTTTTCTCTTATACCTCCTCCTGAAAGAGTGTGTTCCTCTGAATTGGGGAAGACTCAAACTAAATGGCAATTGAGAAAACAAGATTGTCAGATCGGCAAAAAAATATTTTAACAATATTTTAAAATAGAGACATTACCATCGTGGTCTTAATGGTCCGCTTTACAGATATGATCAGGTCCTAAAGAATCTCTGGGCATCTAGTATCAAAATCGCGTGGAGAAGCTATAAAGATTGGTGATATAATGATGCTCTAATGTATGCTAATATTAGATACTGGATGTTCTTGAATAAAAAGTATATCCTCAAGCCTAAACGGGCAATGCTCTCTGAATACCTTTTATGTAAAAACTCACAAAGAAAATGCACAAAAACATAAGAAACCTATCTTAAACATTTTAAACATATATGCTTTTCTTGGAGGACATACAAAATCTCAGAAAAGAATTTAATCCATGTGCACAGAGATGTTTTAAACCACTTAAGAATTCATTTCAATTAAGCAACATGATCTACTTTGTGGTCATGTTAACAATGAGAAATGTAACCATGGAATTTAGCTAACATACTACATAATTATTTACCCTACATAGTGAGGGTAAAGGCAAAAGAATTCATATGTTAAGCTAAAAGTGTGCATGGGAAAATTACAGCATTAAAATTCTTAAACTTATCCTTTTCTATCTGAAGAAAGTGTTTCTCGGTAACTTAAAACCCATAATTGGGTAATTTCTAGATAGGTGTGGTGGTGCAAGGGTAGGCAAGGGGTCTATTGACTGGAAAACAGAAAGCAGCACGTTGATTAAAAGATTATATACAACTAGGAGCAAATTTTGGCTTTAGTATGTCATTGTTAAAAGCTAGCCATTTATCTTTGTGCCATGCTGAATAGATAAAGGATTCTGACAACTCGGTCTAGTCAGGATTGCATATTTGTGACCTTAAACAATAAATCTAATTGCAGACCAAACATCAAAAAGTAGCTTTCAAATATAAAAGGGCATATACAAATGAATTTGCAATTTCATTCTGATGGAAGTTTGGTTCTTTCAGCAGAACCCTGTGGGAAGCACTTCATATTGATAAAGTCTTAGTGCAGATTCAAAGGGGGCTATTCTTCCTTCCATTCATGTGTATAAGGTCTGTTAATGTAATTGAGGGTCAGATGCCTATGTCAAAAGAACAAAAAAGTAATTATTCCCATAAAAAATATCTTTAAAATAGTTATATTGTCCTGCATTTTGACACCAAGAGTATTGTCCGAGCCTTAACCTAACTATGAAACGCTATTGTAATCTGTGTTAAATGTAAAAAGTATGATATAAACATAAAGATTTCTACAAAGCAGACCTCCATTAGAAGGTACCTCACTATTCCACGGATCACGTTATTATAATGTAAATTAAATCACAGTCTCCATTCATGTATTAAGGCTCACTGATTTATTCAACAAATATTGACCCAGTGCCTACTATGTGTGAGCACTGATTTAGGTTCTAAGGGTGTAATAGTGAACAATAGAATCCCTGCTTTCATACAGCTGACACTCTAGATTGGGAAGAGATACAATAAAAAAAGTAAATATGTCAAGTGATAATATTTGTTATGGCAAAAACCAAAGCAGAATAAGGGCGGAAACAGTGACAGAGCCAGGCCTTATCACTTGACACAGTGTGGTCAGGAAGGGCCTGAGAAGGTGAAATTCGGTGATTTGATCAGAAACCTTACTGAACTGAGGGAAGGGCATTTCAGTTTGCAAGAACAGCAAGCACAGGGCCCGGGTGCGGAGTCCGCATGGCCCGTAAGGAGAACAGCAAGCAGATGGCTGCAGCTGGAGCAGCAGCACAGGGGAGGGAAACAGTGGTAGGAAATGAGGTCACAGTAATAGCTATGAAGGGAGAGAATGGTCTACAATTATTATAGGGTCCTTTAGGCATGGGAAGGACTTTGGAAGGTTCTCAGCAGAGGAGTGACAAGATCTGTTTTAAATTTTAAGATAATCACTTTGGCTAATGGTTGGAAATAGACTACAGGAGGGCAGGGTTAGCAGCAAGGAAGCTAATTCCAAGGGGAAAGATGATTTGGGCTTGACTAGATCAGCGTGGTAGAGGTGGACAGAAGTGCTAAGCTTCTGAATGTATTTCAAAAGCAGGGTTGGCGAAATTTCTTGATGGTTTGAGTGTGGGGTACGAGCAAAAAAAGAAAATTTACCAATTATTAAAATATTGTCTGTGTGAGCCAATGGAAAGATAAAATGTCCATTTACTGAAGTGAGGGAGACTTTCAGGTTTCAGGAGAAAATCAAAGTTCTGTTTTGGACATGTTAAATTTGAGATGCATATTAGCTATAAATGGAAATGTTAAGGAAGCTAGTAGCTGGCTCTACAGGTTTGGGTACAAAAAAGAAGTCTGATTCATATATAAGTAGTACTTAAATCCACAGGACTAGATATAATCCATCAAGTCAATAGTGTTGATAGAGAAAATATCCAAAAACTGAGACTGTTTTATTCCTCCATAATCTATAGTGCAGAAAAATCTACAGAAGAAAAAAAAATCATTTCTCCTCCTAATAAAATCAATAATGTTTCATTTTTATTTCTGAGTGTACATAAAGATAATGCATTTAACTCATGTATACATAGATTCTCTGGTCTATGCATAACTAACTAGTATGACTCAATCCACAGTTATTGAATCTCTCTACATTTGCAAGGTTCTGTACTATGTATGATTTAAAGCAAAGCCAAGAGACAAGGAAGAAAAAGAATTTGTAGAATTATATCAAACAATTTATTCTAGAGGTCCCAGTTGGAATATAAGACTATGCACAAGAGCTGAAACTAATTCGAAAAAATGTGTATTTCACAATAAAAAATAATTTAAAAAAAAAGACTATGCACAAGAAAGTAAAAAGAAGTTCAACATTACTATTAGAATAATATTCTTGGTCAAATTTCAATGGGGGAAACCCAGAAAGACAAAAAAAATTCAATGAGAAATGTAATGATAGTAAAAGAAACAATTTGCCCACAAAGATTCTTTGTTTCATGCTTAATTTCCATGAAATTACTTCCATGAGATACTTTTATCTTTACTACAAAATTGTACCGGCAGATGTCGCTAGCAAACCATTTTTGGAAGAAGTTGAGCTCTTTGATGTGATTTCTATATTAAACATTTTATTGCATGTTTTCCCAAAACACATTTATAGCTATTCAAAATGTTGCTAATCTTGGTGAAATTGTACTGAATTCCTCCCAGTAAATATAGTAATATTAGGCTTTTAATGATAGGTGATTTCCTGTTCCGTAGGGGAGCAGATTTGTCACGCCAAAATAATGTTTTTTTGGCAAATTGATTATTTTTTCTTTTTCTTTTTAAATTTTAATTGAGGTAACATTGGTTAATATTATATAAATTTCATGTCTACATTATAATTCGGTATCTGTATACTCTATTGTGTGCTCACCACCAAAAGTCTAGTTTCCTTCTGTTACTACGTATTTGACCCCCTTTGCCCAATTCACCCTACTCCCCACCCTCTTGCCCTCTGGTAACCCCCATTCTGTTTTCTCTATCTATGATTTTGTTTTTGTTTTGTTTTGTTAGTTCATTTGTTACTTTTTTTGTTTTATATTCCACATAGGAGTGAAATCATACATTACAGAATATGGTCAAAAGGTTATAACTCAAACAGTTGTTAGCAGGCTACCTAATGAAGCAGGATG